GGGCAGGAGACACAAAAAGATGACTTTCTGACTTTGAACAAGATGACAACTGAAAGTGTTTTCAAATCTTTCTTTTCAAGAAAAAGAAGTTACTCACCCTGTGAAGTAACGATTGTTCTTTGAGATGTGCCCCGTGGGTGCTCCACGACCCGCCCTTCCTCCCCACTCCGGAATTGTTCTTTATTTTTTCTTCCAGATGAGTGGGTGAGAGGAACTGACGGTTGCCGGCTCGCGCACGGCTGATGAAAGGTGCGAACGCTATCCTGGGGAAGCATGCATGCGTGAGCTGGCGGAGCCCGGCTATGAAAAGCCTCCGAGCTGCGGCGCCGGGACGGGACCCAACACCTAGAGTGGAGCACCCACGGGGCACATCTTGATGAACAATCGTTACTTCACAGGGTGAGTAACTTCTTTTTCTTGAAAAGAAAGATTTGAAAACACTTTCAGTTGTCATCTTGTTCAAAGTCAGAAAGTCATCTTTTTGTGTCTCCTGCCCTCTATATTTTTTCATAACTAGTTAAATGGTTCTAAATATACAAACACTGAAGGTTTTAAAATTACCTTAAGGCTCTTAAATCTCAACTGGTAAGATTGCTAGCTGTTTCTTTTTGAAGAAGACATTTTTACTATATTCTTTTATTCTGTCACCTATCCTTAGGTATCTAGATGAATATATTACCTACTAAATGCAATCATAGTTGAATAGCAGTAATTTACTAAAGATACCTCATAAAACTTCTTTTGAAGGATATTAAAAAGTGAATATGCATGTGTGGGAAGTGTAATTGGAGATATGTGGGGGGATATGTTTCCAGAAATTCAGTAGCATCAACAATAAAAATAATTTGTATAAATTTATTGAGTGCATTGCCATTTCTCCTTTTTCTTTTCTGCACATTTGCCTTGGTGATTGACTGATTTAAATCAGTCTGGCTTTAATACAGGTTGAACCTCTCTAATCCAGCATCCTTGGGACCTGCTAGTTCCAGACAAGAGGAGGTCAATATTGTCTGGCAACATTACCAACACTTTCACTGCTTACTGGGATGTTAGAGGACTTTTAAGGTAAATCAGAACTAAATAACAGCACAGAACTCTGAGAGCTAGAACTGGTGGCTATAAACAAACTTTTATGGGACCACGAGAAATTTGGCTACATCCATGAAAAGTGGACATCTGGCTAACTATAGTCATTCTGGACAATGAATGTTTCTGAACTAGAGAGGTTCAACTTGTAATCTGTTTTAACCATGTTTTAAATCAGCAAGTAGCACACCTTGATTTGTATTTATATTTTAGTTAATTACCTAATGAAAGGTTGAGTCTCATTAGATAGTAATCATTAAAATGTTGATTTGCAACTAACTATAGCTTTTGCTCTAAATTTGGGACTGCTTTTGTTAACCAGGATAACTATATAAATAAATGAAGCTTCAGGAGATAGCCGAGTTAGTCTGTACAGGATAAACTTAAAAAAACCAACATTTTGTTAGTCTTTAAAGTGCTACTAGGCTATTTTTTGTTTTTTTTAAGTCTATATAAATAAATGTGTTTTGAAGCAGTCACATATGTATTTATTCATAATAATAAATTTTACATTTTTAATTGTTACAAAAATGGTGAATGATGCTTTTATATACTAGCTTAATTGTGTGTTCATGATTTGTGTCAAGATGTATTTGGATGAAAATTGGATTTCAGTTAAAAGTCACAAAAATAGCATTTTAAAATAGATTTTTATTAAATAAAACTACCTTAAATGTGCTGAATACAGATGGAAAATATAAGTTCATCAAAACATGTTTTGCATTTCAAATTGACAGGTTTATTAAACAAAAGAAGTGTCTATAGTTAGTGAATTAAATTTATTGTTTAGGAACTCCATGTCTTTCAAGATTTTAGTACTAGTAGAGCTGATCATATCTCACCTCATCTTTATTCATAGATTTTTTTTTTAAATTCCCAATCAGTTTCTCACTTTTGAATTAACTAGACATTGAACTGAAATAGCTGAATAAATTTAAATGAAGAAAATAATCTTTGTGAACTTTCAGAAAAGGATAATCCTGTCAAAAGCTGGATTTTAAAGCACTTAAAATAGTTTGATTTACTTTAAAGTTTTGTCAGCAAACATGTTCCAGTTTTCACCCAAAAGATTAGCAATGATTGGACAACAAATATAGTGATCATTGATGTAAATGAGGTAGAATCTGAGACTTAAATAAGGAAAGAACATGTTAGATATCTCCAGGATGACAGATTCTAATGAATTATGTCCTAGAATATTTAAGCAGTTGGCTGAAGAGGTCTCTAAGCATTAGCAATGTCTTTGAGAATTCTATGGAAGATAGGAAAGATCCTAGAGGACTAGAAAAGGCTAAATAGAGAACTTGTCTATAAAAGGGGGAATAAGGACAACCCAGAAAGTTACCAATCAGGCAGCTTAACTTCAATACCAGGAAAGACAAGGGAAAAATAATCAAACAACTTTTAAGCATCTAAAAATAATATGGTGATAAATAACAGTCAACATGGAATTGTTAAAATGAATTCATGTCAAACCATCCTCATATCCTTCCTTGACAGGGTAACAAGCCTTTTGGATAGGGGGAACCAGTAGCTGTGATATATCCTAACTTCAGTAAGGCTTTTGATACTGTCTCACATGACCTTCTGATAAACAAACTAGGAAAATATAGTCAAGGACACACCTACTATAAGGTGGGTGCACAACTGCATGAAAAACCATACTGAAGGTAGTAATCAGTGGTTCATACTCAAGCTGGAAAGCCGTATCTACTTGGGTCCTGAAGGGAAGGGTTGCAAGAGCTTTGGCAAACAGGATTAGAATTCAAAATGATCTTGATATACTGGAGAAATGGTCTGAAATAAATTCAATAAGGATGAATGTGAAGTGCTACCTTTAGGAAGGAGAATGGAATTGCAGAAATATAAAATGGGAAAAGACTCATTAGTAAGAACTGCAGAAAAGGGTCCAGAGATTATATGCTAAATATGAGTAAAAAACAATAGTGCTGCAAAAAAAGGCAAACATCATTATGGGATATATATTAGCAGGAGTGTAAACAAGGTATGACGTATTTCTTCCACTCTATTCAGCATAGATAAGGTTTCAGCAGAAATATTGTGTCTGATACTGGGCACCACACTTCAGGAAAGATGTGGATAAATAAAAGAAAAATCTAAAGGAGGGCAATCAAAATGATTAAAAATCAAGAAAACATAAACCTATGAGAAAATATTGAAAGCATATGATTCCTTATTCTGGAGAAGAAGGGAAGATTAAAGAGCACTATGGTAACCATGTTCAAGTATGTAAAATGTTATAGCAATGAAGGTCATACATTGTTCTCCATATTCACTGAGGATAAAACAAGAAGTAATGATCTTAAATTGCAGCAAGAGAGATTTAGGTAAGATATTAGGAAAAACTTGCTAACTGTCAAAGTAGTTAAACATTGGAACAGATTACCTAGAGAGATTGTGGAACCTCTTGTCATTGGAATTTTTAAGAATAGGTTAACACGAACATCTGTCAAGGGTGGTCTTGATAACACTTAGTCCTGCCTCAGTACAGATGACTCAACTAGATGACCTGTCTAGGTCCTTTCCAGTTTTATATTTCTATGATTTCCTGTACTGCTTGAACATTATATTTTCTGTTTCTCTCTTGTGTGTGTGTGTGGGAGGGGCGGGGAGGGAGCACAAACTTTACTGAGTATTGCACTTCAAATCAACAGAGCAGCTTGGGTATTAAGCCCCATGGTCTCAATCCTGAAAAAGAGTTATGTCAATAGCGAGCACATACGTCAGCTATGCAGGGTGGCCCAAGTGAGATAGTATTTGTTGGATTCATCCTTTCATTGGTAACTATTAATATTAGAGATAAAAAGTAATATGGTTACTTATATGCCTATAAATAATACTTTTTAAAACTTAACATACAGTAAAATTACAGAGGTCAACTAAAAGTTAGGTTAAAAAAGCCTTTTGTTGTACTTTTAATGTTGTGTATTAAGTGCCAAGTTAAATATATATAGCAGACCTCATCAATATCTAGCTGGTCTATGTGCCACTAGAGGGAGACAGAGCACAACACCAACCTTAGGCTCCAGACTTCCCATATCTGAGGAAGCATGTCCTGATCTTCAGAGACTTCCCAGTTGATATCCTGAATGAGCTCCCACTTGTAAATGCCAACAGTGAGTGGAATCAAACATGCAATCTCTGAAGCTGAGTACATGAACCTCTACTGCATGAGTTAAAAACCACATAGTTGTTAGCTAAGGCTCTGATAGACTCATCAATCTTAGTTGGGATAAGTGCCTTGAGAGGTACAGAGTGCCACGCCAAACAGGCATGAGTTATGTTTGCAGATGCGGTTTTAAAATTTTTTGGTTAAGATAGAGCAGCATTGAGCCAAGGTCATAATATTGTTGAAGACAATGATTGTATTAACTTTTTCACCTCTGCCCTGACTCCCCTGCCCCGAGCCACTCCTCACCTCCAACCCTGACTCTTGCACCCCCCCCCCACATTCCCAGCCTCCTGCCATGAGCCCCTTACATCCCCAACCCCCTTCCCTGACTCCTACACCCCCCACACCTCCAGCCCCATGCTCTGAAGTATTTGAGCAATGCCAGGTAAAGTCTTCTAGTTTAATATATTGGGAAGATCATATTTGAATTTGAAATGGCTACAGTTTTGTAGTTTAGGACTTAAATGTAAATTACCTCCAAATTGTTATTGTCTGTGAATCTCTTCTAGATCATAAGGACCTGGTTTCTCAAAAAAATGCATTTGAAATTACATGTCTACTTTGTGTGTGCAACTAATTTAATTGCTCATGGAAATAGCCAGTTTGGTGTTTCTTAAGAAGTCCTTGACCTTCCCTCTTTGCTGCCTGGGAATTAATCTTTTGTGAAATTTTCAGATATTACATCTCTTAGTTAAAAAAAAAAACCTTACTGTTTTTGCAGCTGGTTTTAGGAGAAGCTTTCGTCTTAGCAGAAAAGATAGAAAGACAAATAAATCAATGTACGAATGCAAGAAGAGTGATCAGTATGATACAGCAGATGTCCCAACATATGAAGAAGTTGCACCATATCAACGACAGCTTAATGAAAAATACAGGCTTGTAGTTTTAGTTGGTAAGTTTAAAATTCAACTTTCCTAGCTCTCAAACTGTAAATGTTTATAATCTAGAATATTATGTTGCTGTGTTTGCTCATCATTTCTCATCTTCTTTGGTAGTTTGAGTTTTGGAAATACCATCAGCCCACTAATCTAAACATTTAGATAAGCAATAATGTTCCCTTGATCTTTGTTCTTTAAAATTGTATGTGTCTGCAACTTTACCAACAGAATATAGCTTACTAAGAAATTTCCTGCACATTGCATTCTTTGTGTGAAGAACGCCAATAAAGAATGCTTCTCAATATAAGGGTCCTCTTACTATCGTATCACTCAGATCTCATGTCCCACTTGCTCCCAGTCTAGGATTAGAATAAGATATTATCACAATATTCCCTATTACCACAGGGTTCTCCTATAGAGAACATCAATTAAGTGTCTTGGCCATTCATCCCCACTTTGCTGAACAAGGCTTTCATTAGACTAAAGTGCAAATGTATGTCAGTGTTCCACAGGAATGCTGGATTCTCTGTATCTCCCTAAGCTGTAAACTTGTCCTTCTAGAAAGGGGAAGAAGCATTTCCATAATCAGTGTCTGGGATGTTGTAAAACAGAAACTTATTGTTGAGTGCATTTAAATAAGTACCTGTACTAATGGCCTGATCCTTGGAGATTTGCTAGACTGCCTTTTGGTAAGCTGTCAGATCAGAATGGGCTGCATTTTATAGTTCTCTTTTCCTTATTGAACCCATTCTGATCATCATAAAGAGATTATTCACTTGTTCCTAAAATTGAACCCAGATAATTGTATTTCACTTCTAATAAACAGGTAATAAGGCTTGGCCTTTTGGCACCTGGAATTATTACTGCCAATTGTACATAATTCACATGCTAGGCCAGTGACTTGGTTTGTAAAATTCAGATATTTGATCAGTAATTGCAACTGTTGCAGGGCTAACTTGCATATCTCATGGGCTGATTGAACTGCTGAGATGGATTTCTTGACCAGGGAGCAAGACATGGTAATCTCTGTGTTGAGTTGAGTACTGAAGAGTTGCTTAGCCTTTTTGCTATTGCATGGAATGCATGCTTTTGCCAAACTCTGTTTTCTAGTAATTAAAAAAAATGATAGTAGACAAGTTTCCCATATCACTTTCCATTCCAGAAAGGATTTCAATTTCACAAATGTTAAACTTTATGCAGAGAAACATTCTTAAAAGTATTTCTGGAAAGAAAAGTCTAATGATTCCAAAACAGCAGGAAGCATGAAAGGAAGTTGAGCATTGACTTAATGTTGCATTTTGTCAGAAAGACCCATTTATTGACGGTCCTAACTGTAATGACATTGGAATCAAAGGAATGGCAGTCTGAGCATAAACCAGGATCAGTAGAATCACTGATTTCTTGACCAGGGAGCCCTGTATACAAGCACTACTAAACCTGCCAGTATTCACCAGGTGCTTTCTTCTGAATCAGTCCCTGAAAAGAATGTACCCCTAAAATCATCCTTACCCAGGCAAATAATACAATCAGGACTTGTCCATATTTCAAAAGTATTGTATTTACTGATCACTCAGAAATGTGTTGAGATCTTCAAACCTCAAATTGTTACAATATGTACATCTGCAAATGTAAAAATTGCTGTTAGATTATTTTTCTATATTGTAAAAACCTCAAGGTTTGTTATGTTTTCTGAGGGTCTTGGCCTATACTCCCAGAAAGATTTTATTTGTATAGAGAACAAAACTTTACAGAAAACTTGTGTCTACAGTGTAAAAGATTGGACAGTATTCAGCAAAGAGCCCAATCCTGAAAATCTCACTCATGGGATTAGTTCCACTGAAGTCAGCTGGTATTTTTGTATTTCTTTATAGAAGCATACATTCACTAAATGTTTCCCCGAGAAGTCATGGGACTACTTGCTTGAGTAATGGTTGCAATAACAGGCCTATATATTTTAGTTATCCTGTTTTCAATAAAGAAGTTTGGGGATTTACATAACCCTCTGACTATGGCAAACAAATTCCACTGAGTTTTTGATGTTGGCACAAATATAACAATGCAGTATTACAAACACTCAGGAGAATTATTTAATATTTTGCCATGATTTTGGAAAAGTCCTACTTCAGATGTAATGTAAAAGTAAAAAATGGTTTGTGTTTAGTTGTTTTGTTCAGTGGCAGTACTAGTGAAATTCCTTACCTTACATGGAAGTATGAGGATACGTATTTAATCAGGTTTTTTATACTCTGTGAACAGAGAGCAATTTGTGCATCAGGTAAAAAAGACATTTAGCTTTAAGACTATGATCCTGTAACTGTTTGTTTCACAAACTGTTTATGTCCCATCTACCCCTACTTAGGTATTATACTTCTTGCATTGTACAAAAGAGGTATTTTAATACTCTGGTAAAGCTGATAAGAATATCAATCATTGGTGCCATTAACTTGACATATGTATTTGTAATCCTTGCTCTCTGGTCACTGCTGATTATAATCCATGGATGACCCTGTAGCCTCAGGCCTCCTAAGGGTCAGGCAAGAGTACCCTGGCACTTGTCCCAAGTCACTCGTCATGCCTGGGGAAATGAGGTCATGTTGGGAGCACAGCATGATGGAAGAAAGATACTTATGAGGTTGTGGGGGAAGATTTTAGTGTGTGGGAAACAGATGAATACCTTTCAGAGTACACATGGGTCCATGTGAACTTCTTATGATCTGTGGGGAAAAGATTAGATGCTTGGAGAAGCATCTTAACTGGGTACTTTGAAACTCCCCTACAAATTTCTAAGAATGTACCAGTGTTTGAGAACATATTCCAGTGTTTGGTTAAACACTAGAATAAGTTGCTTAGGGAGTTTGTGGAATCTCCATCTCTGGAGATATTTAAGACCAGGTTAGATAGACATTGATCAGCGATGGTCTAGAGATGGTACTGGGTTCTGCCGTCAGGGCAGGGGACTGGACTCGAGCCCCTTTCAGTTCTAGTGTTCTATGATTGGATGAATCTGCCTCAGTCCAGACCTAATTCAGTTCCAGTCTTTTCTTGTCCCAAAAATCTCATTATTCTTCTTCGAGTGGTGTCCCCATGTCAGGTTGTCCTGGCACCGCAGATCGGTGTTTTCTTGAGCAGTGGTCAGCCAGACTGCACATGCGCAGCATGCGTCTTGCACTGTTTGTGTTCTTTTGATCTCTCTCATGGTCTGGCTCCCGCCAGTTCCTTCTTTGACCTCATGGTCGCAGACAGAGCGAGCTTTCTCTTCCTCAGGCAAATCCTGTCAGGAATAGAATAGATAGTTGTTTGGTCTTTGTAGTTAGTTACAATTCTTATCGTTCTAGTTATTATAGTTAGTTTTTATTACTTTAAAATAAAGTTAATTAGCTTTAGTCTGTTGTACAATTAGCCATGCCGGGCTCTCCCAGTTTTAAGAAGTGCGGCAGCTTTGGATGGTCATGCCAAGTGTATCAAGTGTCTCAGCAAGGCTCATGTGCCTCAGAAATGTGTCCACTGTGCCAAGTTGCTGGTTAGGGCACATAAGGACAGGGAGATGAGATTTAAAATGTTTTTATTCGACAAGGCGCTTCAGCCGCCGGAGCATTCTCATACGGTTTCCACTCTGCAATGTCCTTGGGTGGTGAAAAGAAAGGCCATTTTTCCACAGTCGGCTCCAGCTTGGAAAAGAGCTTTGCAAGGTCAGTCTTTACCTTCAGCATGAGTGAATGTCAGTGATAAGCCCGGCACGTCAGGCTCAGTGGCACCCAAATATAAGTCGATTTCAGAGCCAAAATCATGACAAAAACCTACAATGGTGCCATCAACAGTCGTAAATCCGCCAGTTAGCACTGCCAGCAACTGAACCGGTTACAACGGTACCAACAACATCGGCATCTTCCATGTCAGAACCATCAGCAACCATACCAATGACCTCGGCCACACATGTGCCAACAACCTTGGCACCGACCAGCATGGTACCAACCAGCTCGGCACATACAATGGCATGGGCATCTTCAGCACCATATGTCTCATCCAGCCCTCCGGTGCCAAAGAAAGCACCCCGCAAATCCTCTTCAGTGAGATCAACGAGCCCAGAACTGCTAACATTCTCACCAGCACCGTCTTCCATACCATTTTCTCCATATTCTCCTCAACTACGACGGATGACAGAGGTCTCATCCCACGTGAACAAGCTAGGCACCATGCACCCTAAGTATCGTTCATCACCATCCCCTTATACAAGATATCTACCTCACTCTCCTCCTCCTTCTTCGAGAGCATCATCAAGGTCATCCTGTTCCCCACACCTACATCATCAGACGTACTAGAGGAGCAGTATGTCATCTCATCATGTTTCACCAGTGCGATTTTATCTCAGACAACACAGTCCAACATACTACAGGTATTATTCTTGGCATGATTCAACTCATCATCACTATCATCACTGAATATGGCTATCCTTGCTGTCACAGTCACCCGAATTCCCGTGCTCCCTCAGTTTCCCTGCAACCTTCACATAGTCAAGCAGTAGCAATGTCACCACCTAATGCTCCCTCTACAGCTCATCAGTTGGAACTGGACGAAGGTCAACTCTCTGAGGTAGAAGAACACCCACCAGACATATTACCGACCAATTAGTCATCATCATCCCCTGACAAAGCAGTCATACCTGGTGACCAGTCTCCTCCTGAAGACCTGAAACAATTTCAGGAGTTTCTCAAAAGGGTGGCTGCATCTCAAGACATTACATTAACTGAGGTACCTGAGAAACAGCACAGGCTCCTCAAAAATCTCCAGTCCTCACAACTGGGAAAAGTTGCAATCCTAATAGATGACACTATCATGGAAGCTGCCAATGAGAGATGGCAGACTCCAGCTTCAGCACTTCCAGCTAACAGAAGAGCCGACAAAAGATATTTTGTCCCTCCAAAGGGAGCTGATTTCTTATTTTCCCTCCCTCAACCAAATTCTTTAGTCGTCGACACTACTCAACACAAGGCCAAATTACCACAATACAAAAACA